CTATGAATATTTTCTGACTAGTTGATAGCATTGCTGGTGAATGATTGTTGATACTTTGACATCCAATAGTATTAGGGCAACAGTTTTCAATTGGCATATTGGCTGTATCAGATGTAGAATTTTACAGTGACACTTCTAATTCTTGCTCCTCCTTTTGTTTTTTCAATTTGCTATAGGCTTTATGGGAGCTCCTTTGGCGAAATCCTACAGCTCAGCCTAATCCTGCAGAGTCTGCCCCCAATTCTTCTTCACCTAAGAGGCAGCCTGTTGAAATTATTCGAAATAGGATTGTCACTGTATTCTCTGAGGTCCTCACACAGGTATAATACCAATCTAAATTGTTGGATTATGGTATTTCGTATGTGCTTATTGTGTCAATTTCGTTTGCCAGTGTTCAATATGGCATCTGTGATGCATCTAATGGAAACAATGATTGTGAGATAAAATCTATGGTCTTTATTTCCCTTCTGATTTTGGTAATCTAAATTTCTCTTAAAGTTACAAGATTGGAACAACAGACGTGAGTTTACTCCCCCCAGTGATTTCCATGTTCAAATGGTTGCAGTTGATGATAACTTTATTTCTCAGGTAATAGCTCGTCATTTGCGTATTGGGATTCCTGGAATTATGTGTGTGTATATAGCTGCCTGTCTTGATATCAGTGTCCTTTTCCAGGCAGCAATAAAAGCTCCTGTCTTAATCCCGTTTGCTGACAGAGAAAAAATATTTACTGTAAGTAATTAACTTTAAATTTTCATCGATTAGTTGGAATGAATTGGTTGTAAAAGAAATGCAATCATCAACTCTGGATGATATGACTGAAAATTATTTGGAGAAATTTAATCATATGTCCTTGCATTCTTTACTGATTTTTTTCCCAATTACTTGTAAACTGGTTTATATAAAATCAATCTACCAGGCACAACTAGCAGCAGTTAAACAACAGCATCAGCGACATGGAGAGGGAAAGCATTTTATAATTCGCCGGGATCATTTTTGCAAAGATGCTTGTAATCAGATGAGTGCATTGTCTGAAGAGGATCTACGAGGATTGGTAACATGCTCTTATCTTTCTTGTGTTTTGTTGTAAAATGAAAGACTAAAACAGAATGTAAATGTTGAACAGTGTAAAATGGAAACGAAAATGGGAGAGAATTTGATTAAAATGGTCTGAGCTCACTGTGATTCCTCAGTCTCTCCTCTTTCTTTCACTATATTTATCAACTTGATTACAAGGAGATTTTAATCTGTCAAAAGTACAAAAGTTGGAGCTACAACTATTGCACCTATTCTAGTAAAGTAGGAAATATGATCCCTTAAAAGGATGGATTACAAAATGGCAGCCCTTTTTCTTCTTGCGACATAGCTTTTGATTTCAACATACAAAAGTGATCTTACAAACTTCAACATATTTGAAGCATTTGAAATCATGACTTTTTTCTTTAATAGCAATTTGAAAATCTACTCTCTGCCTTTTTGATTCTCTATCCTGATTAAAGCAGCTTTCTTTTGTCAAGTACCGAGATAATAATTTTTTGGTTGTTTCCTTCCAGATACGTGTAACTTTTGTCAATGAATTTGGAGCTCCAGAAGCTGGTGTTGATGGGGGTGGAATTTTCAGAGATTTTATGGATGACATCACTCGGGCTGCATTTGATTTGCAGTATGGGTTGTTTAAGGTTATCAATATGTCTTCTTGTCTGTCGCCTTTTTTCTTATGTGGTTTATGCACGTGTCTTCCAAAAATTGATGCATGATTCCGTGATGTCTCCTGGGTTAGAGGAACATATTTTTTTCTGGACATTGTGTAGACTCTTGCAGTGACTGGGAGATTAGAATCTCTATTCTTTGTTCCAACTTACAACAGATTGGAAAAAGAGATTAACACAACTACTTTTTTTTGTTGATTTTCTTAAATGTAATTTTACAAAAAGTTGAAAGAATTTTACCTGCTTGGCTTTTAGGCCTCTCTCACCGTCATTCTTCCCTTATATGCTTCTTACTGATGTTCAGCTTATATTACACACCAATGCTAGTTAGGTGCCCTCTGAAGGTTTAAACTAGAGGATAGAATTTGTTAGCTAGTGCTGGAGGTTGTCTCTGGTAACTTGCCTGTGGGTGTGCATAATGAAAACTTATGTTTCCATTCTTTACCTTAAATAAAATTTTGACACTTATTCTTGCTAATTATGATCTGCATATGTTAATTTGTTCACCATTGCTGTTAACTTGCACCTTTGTCTTCATCTATGTCTGATTGAAATTCCATTTTGCATGGTTATCCAGGAGACAGATGATCACCTTCTCTATCCAAATCCCAGATCCAGAATAACTGATGACCAACACCTCCAAAATTTCCATATCCTAGGAACTTTTCTAGCAAAGGTATGTTGTCTCGGTTGTTGCAATGACTTTCCTGCAAGTTATCTGGCTTGTCATCCATTGAAACTTCTATTTATCGTACTTGATATCCTCGGGAAAAAATATGGAATAACAGTGTTACAGTTAACAAATTATGTAAATTCTTATGAGATGCCAGGGAAGATAAGTCCAGGTTTTGGGTTCATAATGAAAGATCATACATAACAGAGGAAATACTTAATTTTTTTCCCTTAGAATTTTCCAGGAAATATGTCACAATTTACGCTTTTACCTACTTTGTTGCATGTGGATTTTGCCCAAAATTTATAGCCTTGCTAACATAAAAGATAAATTGCATGTTTTTTTTTTGGATTTTGTGCTCAGTTATCTATGGTTATGGATATTTTCTAACATACATCTTTCAAAAAGTTACTAATGCTGTGGATAGGAGCAGCATATGCTAATTTGAGTTGCATTATTATTGAATTTTTTGAAACTGTTTAGCTAATCATTACTTCTCAGATTTGATGCAATCCTTCTTCTACTTGTATGCTCATTGTTTTGGGTGAGCTGCTACGAGTAGCATTAATTTACAGTTCATGTTGCTACTTAAGCTATTTATTTTGTAGCTTTAAGTCTAGTGCTACCTCAATTTTATTTATTTTGTGGCTTCCTGATGTGGTTCACGTCTTCTCTGCAGGCCATGTATGAAGGGATTCTTGTAGATTTACCATTCGCTAATTTCTTCCTTAGCAAATTGAAACAAAAGTAAGGATGGCTTTATTCTCTATGACTATTGTTTTCCCTTTTAACTTTTTGTTACAAATGAAATGTGAACAAAATTTATATTCTGGAATAGATATAGGAATGTAAAAGTTACTAGCCTGACACTTTGTATCAACCTTTCTACTAGTTGCAACAAAGACTCCTTAAACACATCGTAAATGATCAATGA